AATTATATATATATATATATATATATATATATATATATATATCAATTTGTAATCAGACAAAAATGTAAAAAAAAAAGTATTTACATTATTAACACATTCTAATTTCTAATTAAATTCTAAAATCATTTTAAAATAATTTTTTTCATGTCAAATTTCAACATACTGAAATGTACATGTAATAACTTGTCAAACCAATTCAAAATCAGTAAAAATTGGTTAAAAAAAATACAAAAAATTGGCTTGAATTATTGTTTTATTTTTAAATTAATTCTGAAAATTTTAAAATAATAGAACACATATTTAATAAAAATTACAAATAATTGCGTACTAATTATTTTGTTAATTACTATAAAAAAATTCTTATAAAACATGTAATTTAGTCATTTATATTAATTTATAATTTGTATATATTAACTTCTCGTGATTTTATATTATATTAATTTATCATTTTCTTTTTTATTTTATATGTAATTTATTATTATTATTATTAAATATTAATTTTTTAACTTAAATCTAAGTATCATATATATTGAATTTGAATTTCTGTTTCTTATTTTGAATATTAAGAACTTATAAGTTGCCATTTCACATTTAGTGATTTGGTTAAGTTGAAAGTTGTTTTAGGTGCTTAGGTGTACTCTTGTTGTTTGGGTGAGTAATTTGACAAGATAGATGAGTTGTAAACAAGATGGTTGGGTCGCATTAGGTGTTGATCATGTTGTTTTAAGCTGTTAGTGATGAATGATTATTGAGCTGAATGATGATATTGATGTGCTGCGCTGAGCGCGACCCTTGTCGCGCTGGGCGTGAGACTCCTTGGGAGTCTCTGCCTCGAGGGCGCTGGGCGCAATTTGGTTTGCGCTGGGCGCGAGACCAAGGGAGGTCTCTACCTTGCCTGCACTGGGCGCAGGTTGGGGCATGTCGAGCGTGTGAGACTCCTTGGAGTCTCTGCCTGGCCTGCGCTAGGCGCAATTGGGTATTGCGCCAGGCGAGAGAGAGCTTTGGACTCTCTGGCTAAGTCTCGCAGGGCGCAGGCACGCTTGCGCCAGACGCGCTGGCCCCTGAAGCCCTCTGGTTGTGCCACGCCAGGCGCAACCATGAGTGCGCCGGGCGCGTATGAGGATGTGAAGTTATATGCTGAAATTTGCTGATAATATTATTTTATGCTGAACTAAGCCGAAATTGATGAATATGATGCGATGACTAGCTGAAATTGCTATTTGAGGATGTTGAGCTGTGTTAGGTGTATATTGCTGTAAGATGCTTAGAAGTGCTGTAAGACGATAGGCTATACTATTAAGCTAAGCTGTGCTGAATGTTGTTTATGCTGATTAATGTTGCCAATGCCGTGTGATGAAAAGTTGTGTTGTGCGGTATGTTGTTAATAATGTAACGCTGAGTTGTGATATGTGATGCTAATGCTAAACTTTATTGTTTGAGTCGAGCTGAATTATATGCTGATAGTTGTTGAATTATGTTGTAATTGCTGAGTTGAGATGTAATTGATAAATATGTTGTGCTGACTAGATGTAAATGCTGAAAAATGATGTTAAGCTGTAATAGATGTATCTCGCTATGCTGAGCTGGACTGTTATTGATGATTTTAAATGCTGATTTATAATATGGCTGTGCTCTAGAATGATGAGTCGAGTTGTGAGTAGTAAGCTGTGTTGAATACTACTTAGTTGTGCTGTATGCTGATTTTGGTGTTGTGTTGTGCTGTGAGCTATTTTGCTGTGCTGTTTATTGCTGAGCTGTATGCTGTGTTTAGCCACTATTGTGGTGCTGTTATAGCCGCTATGTCGGTGCTGTTAGCCACTATTGTGGTGCTGTTATAGCCGCTAAAACGGTGTTGTGCTCCATGCTGATAGGAGCTGTTGTAGGCCGTAAGGCTAAGCTGTGGTAGGAGATCTCCGAGCTGATATGCGTGACGACGCATTGTGTGTTTACTACTATTTATCGATGTGTACTGTTGTTTACGGTTGTTATTGCTAATTGATGTTCGGATAGCGGTAGTTGTTTACTATTCCTAAATTTATATATTTGTATGTTGTTTCTTTTCACTAGCTTACCCTTGTTGTTTCCATGTGGTTTGGACTGCGATGATCATACTACGTATGGGAGCAGAGCAGGGATAGGTTGGTGGCTTACGGCAGGTCTGCTTTTTTTTTTTTTAGCAGGAATTTCAGTCAATAAATAGTTTCGTTGTATATTTGTCTTTGAAAAATGAAGTTGTGGGCTGTTTTTTTTTTCCAGAATTTGATGCAATGGTTAGCGTGAACATAATACAATTAGAAATTAAAAAAGAACGAAATCATTTTATTTCTCTCGTCTTGAAATGGTGCGCCATTCTTGCACAAGAGTCCAATTCAAATTTATTAAAAAAAATATTTTCCTTATTAACTTGATGGGGATTGTTTTGGCTGTTCAGTTTTACGTTGATTCTATTTCGTAGCGAGAAAAGGTGCGGAGAAAAGCGACGAATGAAGGAAGGTAATACACAAGAAATGAGAATAATGAATTCAAGAATTTGAAATACTAAGATCGGAAATCAGACAAAAATGTAAAAAAAAAAGTATTTACATTATTAACACATTCTAATTTCTAATTAAATTCTAAAATCATTTTAAAATAATTTTTTTCATGTCAAATTTCAACATACTGAAATGTACATGTAATAACTTGTCAAACCAATTCAAAATCAGTAAAAATTGGTTAAAAAAAATACAAAAAATTGGCTTGAATTATTGTTTTATTTTTAAATTAATTCTGAAAATTTTAAAATAATAGAACACATATTTAATAAAAATTACAAATAATTGCGTACTAATTATTTTGTTAATTACTATAAAAAAATTCTTATAAAACATGTAATTTAGTCATTTATATTAATTTATAATTTGTATATATTAACTTCTCGTGATTTTATATTATATTAATTTATCATTTTCTTTTTTATTTTATATGTAATTTATTATTATTATTATTAAATATTAATTTTTTAACTTAAATCTAAGTATCATATATATTGAATTTGAATTTCTGTTTCTTATTTTGAATATTAAGAACTTATAAAGTGATATTTTATTTTAATTTGTACTGATATAAAATTGTGGATCATATTTATTTAATCTTATTTTATGTATTTTTTAATTATTTGTATTAATTTATTACCTTTGTATACAATGGTGATAACAAGACTAGATATATAAAATATTATATAAAATAGACGTAATTACAATAACACCCTCCGAGGTTTACTGTAATTACACATGCATTTCATGAGGTTTATTTTTTGTTAAAGGTCTGCACATGTATCTCCTATGTTTTTCAAACACAGTACTCATACAAAAATCATTAACGAAACTCAGTCAAAATAATTAATGAAACTTAATTATAAAATGAAATGTGTACGAACATTTGAACAATGTGTATATGGCTTGCTCCCAGTTATTTTGGTGGTGTCAAGGTTTTAAATGAAAGAGAAAAGAGAAATTTTATTATTAAATTTTTCATTACAAACCACCTGATAACCATGTGACTGAAAAAATAAATAAAATTATTAGTGTCTTTCTACAAAATACTACACCAACATATTGAATTAATTGATTACTATTATTTTATTAATCAATTTTTATATATTAAATATAATTTTTTATCTTATATAAAAGTACTTTTAAGAGTTTTTATTCGACGATAATTTTTATTTTTTTTACTTTTTATTTAACTTGATTTTTATTCATCATAGTTATTTATAAAAAAAACTTTAGTATTTTAAAATATATTATTAATAAATAAAAATAATATTATATTATAATATAAATTGTTTATCATAACACGGTTACAATGCAAAGTTCAAAATTATCATTAAAAAAATTAACCTTTATATATTAAACATGAACAATTATCTTGTACGATAATATATTAAAGGATATTTCTTAATAAAAAGATTTGTAGAAATTTTTTTGAATTTTCTATCTAATTTGATTTTTATTTGTCATAGTTATTTATGAATTAAATATTATAAAAATAATTCATTTGTTACGATATAAATTATTTATTACAAATTTAAAATATAATTTATATATTTACAAATATTTGTTACATTAATTTTAAATACAATTTATATATTTAAATATAATATTTATTTATAAATAATTTATTTTAAATTTAAATTATATTATATGTAATAAATATAAATATACATATACATTTTACAGCCTAAAATAATAATATTAGTTCAACTTCAATTCAGTTTAAATCATTAAATCTTCAAAAAGTGCCTAAATCAATTCAATCATCAGGTTGACTTTAAAATATTGAAACAAATTATTAGTGTTTGTCTAATTTAAATTTAGTATAATTAATTAAAAAATAAACATAATTAAGATATATATTTAAAATGATCTTCACTACAAAATTTACACCATAATACTCCTTTTAATAATTACTTTTAATTTATAACAAATTATTTTAATCTTTTTTTATTTTCTGTAACTCCCTAAAACCACTTTCTCTAACATAACTATTTTCTTTTCTTATTTTATTGTATTCTGAAATTACTCACAAGTAACCGTGTAATATTATTATTTATTCTAAAACTATTTAAAAATAATTGTTCATATTTTTTAAATATTAATACAGTACAGGCATGCTAGTTTATATTAAAATACCTGTCACAATGAGTAAAATTAACTCAAAATACTAACAATAAACACCTATTAAGTTTGAACTTGAGAATTAACAAAACTTTTAATGACTGCTTGGTTCAAAATACTATTGTTATTATTTTTCCCTTTGGTAATATATGATTTCTTTTTCACTCTTTTTAAATATTACCAACTTGTAAATGCAATTTCAGAAAAATCCAACGGCAAGAAAAAAGAATTCAGAAAACGAATATAACTTATTCCATTGATTTTCTATGTACAATTAGTCTAACATATTCACATTAATATAAATTTATTTGTGTTTAGGACATATGAACCAATATAGAAGAGTTTGAAAAAACAACGTGAATCAAATTTCAGAAATCCATACAAGAATTGAACTGTATATACAACTGGGAGTATTGAACTGTATATACAACTGGGAGTATTTATCACAGAAAGAAAGGTGTAATTCTAGAACTGGAACCAGCTTAGAAACGTAAACAGGAATATAGTTCTTGAAGGCAGGCATACAAGGGTTGAGCAGCCTTTGGCCTGTCCACCATCCCCACGAGAATGTCCGATGTGGTGAGGTACGGATCACCATAGAAGCGCAAATTGGCATCCATCCTGGTTGCAACTATATTTCCTTCCAAAGATACTCCCACAAATGCACCTACAGTTTGGCAACATTCCATGTTCTTAGATATACTTGCAAACATCATCTACCACAAACATTAATCATGGAAACAAAATAAGAAACATTATAAAAATTAAAAGCAATGTAGGTAGTAGGCACAAACACACAACAATAATAAATCATGTGCCAAGGCAATTGTGAGTCTATGATGCCCGGACACAGCATGGGAGTGCCGGACACAGAGTCTGGCATTATTCCGGAGCGGACACGCCATAGATGTAGCAACCGATTGCATTCATACAAATCAGACACATCTTAGTTGCAGTCACCAACAAAACGGACACACCTAATCATGGACACCCACAAAACAGACACACCCGGTCGTGGACACGCAAACACAACCCAAAACGCAGCCCAACTCTAATGCACGGATTCAAGATTTTTGTTTTTTTAAAACAGAAACAAGGGAGGTTTCAAGGCTTTTTAAAAAAAATATTGATAAAAACATAAATAAGGTATGTTTTTCAATGATAATGACCAAGAATGAAAATTTCCCATAATATTTCTCTTTTGTGATTCTTAATTATGATGGTTTTTGTTAACTTTTTTTTGTTGTGAATTATGATGTCTCTTAGTAATTTGTTTTTGACTCAGGAAGCTATTGTTATATCAATATATAATTTTTTTTGTCATGTTACTCATATTTCATATTATATATACGACATGTTCACATGTCCTATAGTTTTTTATTTTATCGTATCTCCGTGTCTGTATCAGTGTCCAAATCCATGCTACATAGATTGTGACAATGAACTATGATAAGCACACAAGCACTTGGAAAACCCTCCCAGAGAGCTGACATCCCAACAGCTATAATCCACAACGTTTCACTCAACCTTTCAAGTCATCTCCTTCATTACCATAATCCATAGGTAACTCTTTCCAAGCCATTGGCAACCAGCTCTTATACCAATTGATAAGCACCCAAGCTCTTGGGGTACACTACCTTAAAAGCTAGCCGTCAAAGGGGGAGGAGAACCAAGCTACAATATTCTTTAGGGTGCATGAGGCTCTCACTAAGTGGGTCTGGGGAATGTAGATGTATGCAGTCTTACCCTCACAAGTGGAGAAAATATTTTAGATTTGAACGCATGACCTCTACTCTAGATCACAAGGTGGCAACAACCTCACTGTCATGCCAAGGCCTGCCTTTAGAAAGACAAAATTCTTTATTATTGGAAAATAAGAGTAGGTTTCACTAGACAAAGAGTATGTTGTTGGCAGTTATCTACCACACATTATTCTAGTTTCCTTAAAACTTAATATCCAGGTTTGTGTATTAATACCATGACCTTGGCAACATCTTCGATCAGATATTGAAACTATTCAATTAGAAAACCACAATTTAGATGCTAACAAGACAACTAATGGTCATATGCCCATGAACTTGAATGAAATTAAAAAATGTCCTTGCCATTACATTAAAAATATCCAGCCATATGCAAAACAAAAATCACCATAATTACCTTTACTGCAACTGTAAGTGTAACACATGCCAGAGCCTCTGTCACCAGCACGAATATCTGCCTCAAGAACTCTCCCAACAGGCCCTGCAGCAGCACTACAACCAGCACCAAGAGAAAAATGCATGCGACTGCAGAATGTCTTCACAGCTTTCATATCACGGAGAACAACTATAAAGTCCATAAGTTCACCACCAATCTAGGAATATAGGATGACCACATACAAATCCATAAGTCAAAAAAGAATTCATACCAAATCAACACACTCGTATATGACCAGAGAGATTCTTTATATTCTCTATTGATTTCCTTTCCATTATATGGATAATGTTTAATTAATTGATAGCTTAGAAATGGTTACCACTAATCCAAGACTAAAACAACGACAAAACATTTTCCCACTAGATGAGGTTGGCTATATACTGATCCAAGAATGTTTCATATAAGTGAGTTGCAGAAAGAATATTCATGTCAATCACAATCAAAGAATGAAGAAAATTCTGAACAAAAATTTCAAAATGGCTCCATCTCCATATGATATATATTCTTTTTACATTTTTTCTATCAAAACATATCAGTGAACATCATACTGACAACTCTACAAAATAACTAAACCCACATATATATCAACAACCATCATACCAGCAATGCTACAAATAAACTAAACGCACACATATTTTCCTTACCTGAGCACCCCAACCCAAACCCAGGGAGAATATAGCAGATGGTGCTGACCATGATCCATCTGATCTTCGAGCAACAACCAAGCCAGTACCTAGTTTGTAAGAGACCAGTGCACCAGCTTTAGCAACTGTTAAAATTGCTAAGCCCTTGGCACTTTTAAGAACAGTTAAAGGAATGGACTTCTCAGGATTGGAGCTGGCAACCTGCCAACGAGAAAAGTATTTCACATAATATAAACAGTAAAGGCTCATATCCTGAAAAAGTCTGCCTACCTAGATACTTCATGGATATATTGGTAAAAGTGTCATTTCAGAAATTTTAATCCAAAACAATACTAATGATAATTAGAGATTAAATTTTACCATTGGAAAAACAGCATAAGTCATTTGCTTAATGAAAACTTATTTGATAAAAACCGTGAAACTGCAAAATCAAATGGAACTAACCTGGCAGTAGTTTCTCAATGTATTAGATGCTTTATAAATCTCATGCTCCATAGATAAACCAATAGGAAGATTAATCCATCCTCTAGCACAAGTCCAATCCATGACATCATGCTTAGCCACCTGCGCAGCATTGCTTATGGTGTTGATAAGAACACCCTGCAAAGGATCAAGCTGGTCATAGCAGGCATCACAAACCCTTTGGGGATTCCTTTCCCTGAACCCAACAGGCAATAAACACCTCCCATTTGTACATGTTCGACAGAAAATCCCTCCACAAAACCGGCAATGATGTCTACCACGAGTAAGTGCAGTAAATGGAGCTCTGCACTGCATACAAACAGTGGTAGAACTATCAGGGAGCCACTCAGGGGGTTTAGCTTCCAAGACCTCTTTGTAGGAACTATAATCAGCCCCATTTGGCAGACAAAGAGGTGGCGCACTCGGTGTGTACACAGAAGAGTCAAGGAAAACATCACCATTCTTTCCAGAGTCTAGAAATGACGCATTTGAACTAGGGAGCTGCTGGTTTGCAGTACTCCTTGGTGACTTGTTCCGTCCAGTCAAAATTGCAAATATCCCAGAAAGCACATTCTTCAAGTTCACCTCTGGGTGCATGTTAGAGGGTACAATACCACGAACATCATCACTTGATTCATAACATCCATCAAACAAATCATCATCCTCAGAGGAGAACTGATACAACATCTCTTTGTTAGAGAATGTTGGGCCTACTTGGGCACACTTGGTGCCAGCCTTAGGCTCAGACCACACAGATTTACCGTGATGATTCATAGCATCAAAGCCAAAATGGGTGTTTTCCTTTTCTAGCTTAGATAGCGAAGAATATGTAACTCTACCATCAGAAGCTGCCATTCACCAACCAAACTACACTGCATGTACTTATAGAACGATCCAAAACTGCCACAAAAAGTTCCAGCGTTACAAACTTTATTGAAAGGGCACAGGAGAAAAGATAGCGAATCAGTAAAAAAACTTGAAGGGCAAAAATAAAATTGAACAGGACAACAAGGGTTTAGGAAAAGCTTGAATTAAGCATCAAATTGATGAAAGAAAAAAAAAAACACAAATAATATAGCAGAATTCAGCAAGAGGACGTGAAACTAGGGTTTTGATGCATACATAGGTTACCTAAAAGGGATCAGGGAGAATTACACAATAATAATTATTATAATTACCCTGAATTGGAAAACTTAATTGAATAGGAGCGAATTGGGGGAATCGATGAAATTGAAATGGGGAAGACAGAAAGGGCCAAAAGAAGAGAAGAGTTATGGAAGATAACTTGAACTTACTTGAGAAAGGAGCTATTTATTATTTTATTTGATTAGTGTATATTGAACGACGTCGTTGAGAAGGAAAGCATGTACTTTCGTCTGCCGCAAAGTGTATTACCCTATTAGACACTCTGTATAAAGCCTACAAAACTCTACACTTCCTAATTTAATGCCTTTGTGATTAAAAAATAAAAAAGAGTAAAAAAAAATTAAAACGTTATGTTTGTTGCAACAAGAAAAATATAATATACAGAAAAACAAATTTTAACTGTTTTTTGTAATGTGTATAACAGATATTTTGTTTTCAAAATGTACCTTTTAATTAACAAATATATTATTGTTAAAAGATAAAAACGTAAAAGAACAAAAACAAGTTATAAAATACATATTTGTATTTGAAAAGCCTATAAAAAAATAGGGAAAACAATATTTAAATCCCATTTTATCTCTTTTATAAATAGATATCATATACTTGAAATATTTCAATTGATCTTTAAATTTTGTTATATTAGCAAATAGGTAACATAAATTTTAATTTTATTATAGTTTATATTTAAATTTTTTATCTTTTTTTACAAATAAACATTTTAATTGTAATTTTATCTTAATTAATTTTTAATTTTTTTTGTAAGTATCTTATATTACATTGAGATTAAATTACTAAGATAGAAAAAATATCAATCATTTATTTATTTTAAATTGTACTTATATATTAATTTTTTTAGTATATATATTAGTTTTATTTTTATATATACAAAAATATGAAGAAGAAAAAAACTACTTATTTTATTATTTTTTTTGTTCTCTTTTTTTTGTTTTTTCTAAACTCGTAATTTTTATTATATTTTAAAAAATAATTGTAACATAAAAAGAAAAATTAGTGAATGATTAGTATTTAAAATAAATAATTTAACTCTAAATTGATAATATAAAAACTTTCTATAAAAATAATAAATTATCAAATGTTAATATCAATTGAAATAAAATTAAAATTGAGGGTGTTTATTTATAAAAAGTAAAAATTAAGAAATAATTGAAAAAAAATTAAAGATCATGATTTCTTTTTACAAATTATATAAAGTTCAAGGATTTATTAGGATAAAATAAAAGTTTATAGTGTTTATTTGTAAGAAAGAAAATTTTTTAAGGTGATCGATTACTTTTTTTCTAAAAAAATATTATTTGTATTAAAACAAATATTCTAAATGTTATATTTATGTGTGTATCTATCAAAATATATATATATATATATATATATA